AACTTTAGCGCCGTCAATATCGTTTTCGCTTCCATATACAGAGGAGCGTCTCACCTACAGGCACGCGCACGTAAGTCGCATTGCTTATCTAATATGCTTATCTCGCATTGCTTATCTAAAGCATGTAGAACATAAGATGCACTTGCCCAACCCATAATAATAACTAGGGAAATACAGAGGCGCGGGGGAGAACGGAAGGGAGGAAAAGAAAGTGAGGAAGAGAGAGATGCAGAAACCGGTTTGGGAATCTAGCAGCCTCCCGTTTCCCTGGCCAACGCTGGGTACCTTTGATGTCTTTGATGCTCTGCTATGTGGGAACAGAATATATTGTACATATCGTTCTCAGTCTTCTATGTCAGAACAAGTGTCAAAACTGCTTATAGGTGGCGCTTGCACACCGCTATCAGAGTATAAAGCCGTGGGCTTAGAGAAGAGATACGGGAGAGAGGGGGGGGGGGGAAGAGCGAGAGGGAGAGAGATGGAATGAATTGCGAGAATGACTCACTCATTTTCTCCCCATCTTCTCCTCTTTTCAGTAGTTGCATTGGGTTCCCCGGCGTCACCTGACTTTAAAAATTAATCAAACTTTGCTGAGGATGCTTGTCTTCATGCATAGGTGACAAAGAGTGAGAGACAGAGAAAGAGAGAGGAGTTTGTGTGCGTGTACGCGTGGGTGCGTGTGCGTGCGCGTGTGTACGTGAGACGCGAGAGACAGTGAGAAAAGGAGCGAGAGAGATAGAGTGATAGGAAAGAGAGAGAGGGGAGAGATATGTGGATAACAGAGAGAACGCACACACGCGCGCGCACACACACGCACACACACGCACACACACGCACACGCACACACAAAGAGAGAGAGAGAGAGAGGGGGGCGGGAAGAGACTCTTTTTAGTAGTTAGGCCTACTCTAGCTTCCCCAGTCTCAAGATTTTATAAAACGGATCACTGTTAAACATGATTGTCTTTATGCAGGGCCGTATCCAGAGGTTGGGCAGAGGGGGCCGGGTTACAAAATGGCGATGCGAAGCTTCGCCCCGAGCCGCGAAGCGCTGAGTGGGGGGAGAGTCCGGCCAATTTTTTTTGGGTGTTTAACATGCTTAGATGCTATTTCCTGGCATCTAGTTCACTTCAATTGTTTGTTGAATTCATACAAAAAACAGTGTATATCACCATAACAATATTAACATCAATAAAATAAAATGAGATTTGTAACAAACTCGTCTCTGGTGTTGGGAATTATGACTAATTATCTCCGTGGTGTGATCCATCCAATCTAGATACTAGGATGATGACCTGTGACTCTGAAATTATAGTGTTAACTAAAACTGTTACAGTAGTAGAGTGTTTCAGTAGTTTACAAACCATCAATGAGTCTTTATCTTAAAAAAAGGGTACTTTGCCCATTAAATTTGACTAGTTGACACCTGTTAGTAGTTTACCAGTAACTTAGTATCACACAATTACCTTTATTTGTATAGATCTCTCAATTAACTCGAGTAAAGACCCAGTTAAACTAACTGTAGTCCCAACACATTTTTACTAGGTTTAGAACTAGTACTTTTCTGTTTTATTTACTCTACTCACACACCGCCCCAACACCAGGACGGCGAGGTCACCACGAACCCTAAATAACCCCCCCCCCCTGTATTATCGCCCCTGTTATTGCAAGATGAGTAGAGAAAGTGAGTAGGAGCAGAGGGGAGCAAGGGTGTGGTGTTGTGTTTTTGTGTGTGTGTTCGTCTGGTGTGGGTTGGTCGGTGTGTTGTGTGTTGTGTGTGGTTGTTGTTGTGTGTGTGTTGTGTGCGCGCGCGTGTACGATGTACGCGCGCGTGGGCATTCGCGTAATGCTGTAATTATTAGTCTGAGAAAGGTCGCAGTCAAATTCGTGTTTAAATGTTCCAATAACCGGTACCTGATGCCTCAGAATCGTCAAACTTTGTCAAAAAGGAATACATGGGCATGGTAGGAGGTACGTATACAATCTGGTGTATCATTAAGACGTCAAAAGGATAGGGAATCGGTGCCGTACGCTTTGTACATGTTATAGCGTAGACGATATTGCACGAGGCGAATAAAGTGAAACATGCTGACATAAAATGAATAGCTGGGGGATAATATGTCCGTCGCGAAGACATTAAAAACCATTTTAGAGCAAATAAGGAGTGCTGGATGTTAAGTTTAATTTGGACAAGAAACCTAGTCTCCTGCTTTTAAAACTTTTTTGACTGTTGCACAGGGTGAAACTAAACGTAATCGATGATCAAAACCAAGCTTAGCAGTATTCACTATTCTTTGTATAACTTCTCTTTTCTATCTATATTATTCAGCTATGAAGTTGTCTCAATGATTTAGGCGAGCCAATTGAATTCGGCCTTAGCTACAGGTCGGTCATATAACTGCTATATCTACAGAGACTGCCAGGTTGTGATGCACATCGAAACTACATAAGTGCAGATCATGCCAAGTGTATATTGTGAGCGGTACCCGGGTCGGGACGGTTTTTCTGAGGCTTTGGTTTGTTTTTGTGGGGGTCTGGTCTTTTGTGTGTTCTCGATCGTTTGTTACAACCAATTCAAAGTTGTACGACTTAGCCTTCGGCGAATAATTAACTATTGAAAACAGGCGACACTTTCATGTTTAATTTCAAAAGTTAACGAAATAGAAGAAATTATTAATCAGACCAAAATACATTCGCCTGGCAAAAGTGAAAATTCAAATGGACTTCAAGTGACAACGTCAGAACCAAAGCGTCGTTGTTATTTTATATTTCAAATTATATCAATAGAAAGACGAAAAACATATCAAAGCTAAAGCTTTTAATATGACATCTTGTTCGCTATTCGTCATTTACTGTTAATGCTTCGTGCTATCCAACACGTTATCTTTTCTAATTTAGCATAGCCCCTTTACTGTTTCATTTAAGGATAATATTATACAGGGGCGTCGCCCCGATTTTAACAGGGGGGGGGGGGGCAAAACACGAAACTGTCGGCACAGTGACGACTTCATTTTACCTGGTTCTCCGCCCCCGGTCGATCTCCCACCCTCACAGCGCTGTCCACCGTCTGAGCCTCGTATATCTCTTGTTTTGGCGCCATGCAAGTGACATTTTGTTCGTTTGTCTCTGCTGCCGCCATGATTAAGTAACTTGTCTGCTCTGGCTGCATCTAGGATTCCGAAGGGCTGAAAACAGCCTCCTCCATGGGTCCTCCCCAGAAATTTGAACCATGTAGATAGCAGAGATGGTATTGAGGCACTTTCAGGGGCGGATGCATGGCTCGAATCTAGACAGTACAAATTTTTTCCAGAATTTAAGGGCCACATCCCCTGGTCTTCTTTTTTCTTTTTTTGTTTTGTTCAAAAAGGGCACACCACCCACATGCCATGGGCGCCGTTAGCGCGGAACACAATGCTTGGGTCGTGGGGGGCCTCCCCAAAATTTTCAAAATTTTTTCAAGGTCCCTGGGCACAACAATGAGCACCATTTTGAGCACACATTTAGTCAAACAGTCAAATAGCGCTAAAAACCATATGGAATTTATTCTGCTTCATTTGCTGTCGCCTTTGCATACCAGCCAATTAATGCAGAGTGATTCAAGCAGCTTCCACTTCTTTTTCAGGATATCCAAATGCGAGCTTTTGTTACCATGTAAAAGTTTGATTCCTTCAAGTGCCTCGCAATGAATTTAGAAGAAAAAGAAACAAATAAAGAAGTTATAGCAAAAATTTCTCATCAACCTGTTCTGATTTTTTTAGCACAAAATCAAAGGCACTTTGAATATCTTCAACCGACAATTCCAATATCGGAAATACGGTCTGAATCCGCCCCTCTTGTAGTACATTACCTTTGCCTTCATTCCTTGACTATGTGACAATTCTCATTTAAGTAGAACAGTTTCTGATTTCTTATTTGTTTCTCCCAACTTTCGGATGCAACAAAAGGGCGGGGCAGGCCCCCTTTGGCTCCCCCCTAACTACTTCACTACATAGCATATATATATATATAAACTATATGTTACATACAATACATACATACATACAATATCATCACACACGATACACACACACAACACACACATCACACTACACAGCACCACACACACACACACACACACACACACACACACACACACACTCAAAACACACACAACTGCACACACACACACACCATTCCACGACACACATCACACACACACCAAACCCCAAACACAGGTACACACACAACACAACACACATTCACACACACACACACACACCACAACACACACCACACACACACACACACACACACACACAACACACACATCACACACACACACACCACACATCACACAACACACACGTCGGTCACAATCACATCACACACACACACATCATTCACGAACACAACACACACACACACACACAGCTAGTGTTTTTTCACACATCCACACACAACACACACACAGGCACACACTAACACACACACCATCACACACATCAATCACACACAGCACACACACACCACACACACATTCACACACACACACACACACACACACACACACACACACACACACACACACACACACACACCCACACACACACACACCACACCACACACACACTCCACACACACCAGCAACACACAACACACACACACACCACACACACACACACACACACACACACAACACACACATCACACACCGCACAATTACTACACACGTGTTACCAGTCACACACACTACACACACACACACACACACACACACACACACACACACACACACTACACACACACACACAGCACACACACACACACACATCACACACAGCACACACACACACACACACACACACAACACACAACCACAACTCACACACACACACACACATCACACACACCAACACCACACACACACACACATCAGCACACACACACACACACACACACACACCCACACACACACAACACACACACACACACCACATACATACATACATACATACATATATACATATACATATACATATACATATATATAAATATACATATATATATATACTATAGTATCTACTTTACTGAAATACTGATTAAGTTTTAAAGTATTAAACAAAAACCAACATGTATATGCACATTTTATCCTTACCATATAAATTATATGAGATACATTTTCCAATTATATGTATGAAATGTAAGAAATAATTATGACGTCAGATGCTGGGAGGGCATTTGGGAGGCAGATTTCTAGAATGACAAAATCAATGTTGCCCGAGAAAAGAAGGCTGAGGGTAACATCGATTTTTGAGGTCCATAAAACTCTGTTGCCCGAACAATCAGACTACATAATTTTACAAAAATTACATAAATGTAAACTCAGCCATAAAAATATATATTGCTAAGTCTTTCACATTCTAGGGCAACAACTTCACAAAATACTAGACCTAGTCTACCTATGGGTTATTACGCATAACTTATGATCATATTCAGAAATGGCATGTTTAACAGGAGCGGTAAATATTTATATCGATGTCAATCATTAGCACAGCTATCTTTTATCAGGAACGTAGCTAACTCGTTTTGTCTGGGGGGGGGGAAGCCACACACAGTTGGTGCCCTGGGCAGACGACCAAGGACAGTTAGCTGTTGGCCATTTACGACATAATGGTACCTATATTGGTCAAGGGAGCAACAGCCCCCCTCCCCTGTCTCTCCTCACTGGGTACAACCCTGGTAGTTATTTATATCAATGTCAATCATTATCACAGATATCTTTATTACCCCCACCACAATAGCAAACTTTACATTATCATGCCATTTAATTTGAGACGTTACTGGTTACAATATCAGGAGCAAAATAGTTAAACCTGATAAAAGCTAGGTTTCACATTTATGAATCACATTGGCCACCACATATTCAGTAATATACGCCAATAGCCTGAACAACATCTTCTAGTATTTTTGCAATGGCTTCACTTTCTTTGTGTGGCATAATGTCACTTTCTAACAAACCTTCATTAACACATTTCCGTACGTGTTCAGCTTCGTAGCGCATGCCTGCACCATTAGTATAGTTGAAGCTTACTGCAGAATCCATTTCAGGATCTTCGAGAGTAATGACTCCATTTGGAAGGTACTGGTGTATGGTCATTTTCGTAGGATGCTGAACAGGAATAATCTGGAAAGTAAAAAATAAATACTTGTTGACTTTTAGGCACTACTTTTAAAGACATTAATCATCATTTTCTGTCATATTACCACAGCCACAACACTTGCAACTCTATATAAAAGATTTACTTTGATATTAACAGACAAAAGAGTATATCCGATGCTATCAGACAGAGACTGTAAAAAGTAACAGAACCTTGGGCTCCAGAGTGAAAAATCCTATGAATGCCTTTCAATCACTTATGCTCTGTGCCACAAGTTTGATAATTGATGAACAGTTATTGGTAATAAAAAAGATAAAATAGATATTGCTTACAATTTCTGCACCATTACCATGATTCATGTTTTCCTCAATGATAAATTTCAGCAGTCATCCACAAATTAAGGGAACATTTAAAATTTTACTATTGCTATATGTAGGTACCTTCTCAGGTGACCCTAGACTTGTGCAATCATATACTTACTGTGATAGTTCCGTTCGTTCCATACACGACTGCTTCATTATCCAAGGGGACCGCTACTGAGGTGAAAAGCTGTGCAATTCTGTTGTTACTGTACAGAAGTGTTATACTTGCTGACTCATCAACACCTAAAATAGGATAAAGAAGAAATTCTATTGCTAGATGAAACCTTAAATAACATCTACCTCATAGTTCATCTAGCATACATTAACTAAACACAACAATCACACTGCATATATCTAAAGAGACCAGAAAAGTCCTGATACATTAAAATAATTTTAATATTTTGTGAATCGTAAACTAACGATCTGTGTAGAAAACGAAAACCCTCAAGTATGAACTTACCAGTACTGGTAAGATGTCCTGCAGCAACTACACGCTGGGGAGTTTCTCCAAATACCCAGTTAGCAAACTGTATAGGATAAATCCCCAAATCCATTGTAGCTCCACCACCTAATTCCTTCTCCATGATTCTCTCAACGTCCTTGCAGGCAATACCAAAGGATGCCCGCAGTGCAACAACGTTGCCTATTCTGTTTTCAGCTAGGTGATTCTTTAGATGATCATAGATTGGAAAACACCTGCTCCATATCCCTTCCATTAAAAAAAGTTTTTTCTCTTTGGCAGTTGTCAAGACGAGTTGGGTATCTCTCAAGCTTAAGGTCAGCGGCTTCTCACACAAAACTCGTTTTCTGGCATTCAGGAATAGGATGCACAGCTTGACATGTTCTGGATGAATGCTGCCGATGTACACCACATCTGTTTAGAAGGGAATATGATTGTTAGCTATAATATTATAGTAATAGAGGTATAATTATGTGTCAGACAAGGTATGAAATGTCTAGAAATCAACTATATGAATTCATGGTCATGCGTACCAACATTAACATCATGGGCTAGATCTTCGTACGAGCCATATGCCTGAGGAATTTTGTGTTTATCTGCAAACGCTGAGGCTCTTTCCATCCCCCTTGCTCCAACAGCCACAATCTATAATGTTAATAAAAATGTTTTGTGATATTTGTGTTGGAATTTAATGCTGCATTTCGTCATTGTTCACAACATACTTGCAAGTATTTTGTATTATGATCAATTATCAAATGTGAATATTAAACATATTGTGATTCACATTAAATTAATTAAATTCCATAATAAATTACCAATTGCTTTTCATGATTTATTATAATGAAAGATTACTCATATATTAATATCCTTTACATGACCGTGGATATTCTAATTTGGGGTAACTTGTAACTATGTATATATTTAAACCTGGTGGTCCTCAGCTGGCAGCAGCTGGACTGCAGACACAAAGTCATGGCTAATGGCTCCAGCACTTGCAATACCCCATCGTAATGCCATTTTACTCAGGGACTAGATTTCTCTCTGGAATTAGTATATGATATCAAGAGCATATTATATTAGTCATACAACACCATATATTTCAGGTTATATGCACTACTCCACAGATTGCGGTACTACAGGCGCCAAAACTAACACACTATAGACCACTGAATATAAATGAGTGCCAATATCAAGTCAAAGCTAATTACCGATAAGAAAGTGAGTGAGCCAACCAAAATTACAACCAAGATATGCAGTCGATATGCATTATCTAGGTCAATGGGAGCAAGCCACTGTCAAAGAACAAACAACCGTGATCATACATAGATTAATTATCACTTTCCAACTACAGGGATTATAATATGAAAAAAGGCTGTGGTTCAAGAATCTGTATCAGCAAATATGACTTTTTAATGGTAAACGATATAAAACCGTCTGTAGCTCTGTGACGTGACATTACATTTCTTGCCCCTGGACCTAAATACACAGACGTAACAAAACTTTTTACAGTAAAGCAATATACACCAAACCAACAAAGGCTGGTAGATGAGGGGTAGAAAGCTGAGTAGGTAGAGAGAGCAAGTGGAAGAAGTATAGTAGGTTGGTTCTACACCTTCCTCCTCCTTTACACCCTTCTTCCTTCATATCCCTGCTACATCTCTTCCACATATATGCCTCCTTATCTACGCCCTCTACTCTCCTCCATGTTCTGCCCCTAATCAAACTCCTCCTGCTTCCCGATTTTCTCTACTCTACCACCCTCCTTCCACACACACGTAAACACACACACGCACACACGCACGCACGCACGCACGCACGCACGCACACACACACACATACAGTCCCTCCTGTACCACCTCTTATGTCCTCCTCAGGGGCGGATCCAGAGGGTTTGGGTGACCAGTTTCAATATGTTCTTCTGCAGCTAGGGGGGTCCGGGGACGGAATATTTAAAAAATTAGGCTATATTTGGTGCATTCTGGTGAATTTTGAGGCCTGTGACCGGTTTCTGGAAACTGGTGCAAACCGGCCTAAATCCGCGCCTGCTCCTGATCTTCTACACTCTGCACTACCTCATATACTTTCCCCCTGCTCCACCTCCCATACCACCTCCAACTTCTTCCCCTCCGTGGCCTCCCTCACCTCCCTTGTCTAGTTTCCCCACTTCTGCTTTCTTCCTCTTCTCCACCTACTCTCCCCTTCTACCTAATTCCTTCCATTTATCTACCTCATCTCCCCTCTACCCTCCTCTACCATCCTTCCCACCTCCAGCTTTGTCACATTCTTTCCATCTCTTCATCACTTACCTTCACCCCGCTTCTATAGTTCCTCCGACTTCTTCCCTTTTTCTAGCTTCTCGGTCTACTCCATATCTTCTACCTCTTTTTCCTCCTCCTCCCCAACCTCTTCTTTATTACCCTCTGCCTCCCCTCAACCTCTTCTTTATCTCCTTCTCAGCCTTCTCCCCCTCATATTCCTCTCTCACCTTATCCACATCTACTGTTACTCCCACTCCAATTTCTCACACTCCTCCACCTCGCCAAATTTCTCCACCCTCTTTCTTTTCCTGTTTTCCCTGTTACCTTTCTATGCATTCTCCTCTGTTCCCACCTCACACATCCTCCACTTTACCTTCTTTACTTTCCCACCCTCTACTACTCCCACCGACTACTGCCAGCTTGCCCTTCCCTATTATTTAAGCTGTCCCACTTTCTTCGCTTCCTTTACCTTCTTCTCCTCATCCATCTGGTCCAAACTCACTCCCTTGTCTCCTCCTCTACCTTTGCCCTTCCTCTAGCTAATTCTCCTCTCCTCCGCTCATCCTCAAACATGAATCCTCGTCACCCATATCAATCCGGCATCCTCAACAACTCCAAATTAAATACACACAAATAATTTCCAAAACTACCCTGCAATTTAAGCATTGGAAAAGATGTGAACTGTGTAACGTTTAGATGGATGATTTTTATGGACTTTGATAAGATGTACAACGTCGAACATGTTACAAGTATAGCCCTTTGTATCCTTGAGGGATTGGAGAAGCAAACTGTACCATTCAGATTTGCTAAAGTTCCATACATATTAACGCGAGTCCGGAGTCAAATACTCCCTGATTTACTGTCGGATTCCCTAATTTGACATATATTATTTAGATACAATAATGTAACCCAAACACGTACAGGATAGGCCCCCTCCTCCCTATCCTGTGTTTGGGTTACATTATTGTATCTATATTATATTAAATTATGCAGGAGTCCATGTGACTCCCTGAAAATTCTGCTATAACTGGTGACTGCTCGCTAGTCCGACGGCCCAATAGTCCGAAAGCCCACTAGTCCGAAAACCCACTAGTCCGAAAGCTACTAGTCCACTAGTCCCCATTGGGCCGTCGGACTAGCGAGCTGTAACCGCTATAGCCCGACCAGGCTGTGCGACGGATTGTAACCACTGATCTCTATAATATAATCTATGATCTCTATGATTATATTATAGAGATCAGTGATTGTAACCCTAGCAATACCGTTTCTTGGAGCTGTAACCGCTATAACTAGTTCGTTCCAGAGCACGGCATCGCGGAATTACAGTATTTTTTCAGCAAATCTTTAATTTTGAACTTCAGACTACTATACGGACTCCCTCTTTTTGAGGGCAGTATAACTTTGGGAGGTTTGCAGGCCCTGGCTGCGAGTGTCCATGTCAGATACCAAACGTACGAATCCACGAAACGCAAAAATTTATGGGAGTATAGCAGATCCGATATAACGCTTCCAATAATACAATCGAGCGAGGGCATATTATAAAAAAAGAGATGAATAACATAGTAACTCACAACTGTGTTTGATTGTAAATACAAATTAGAGTGAAGGACATAGCCAGGATTAGGTTGTGTATTAGTTTTAGTTGGGTTTGGTTTAGAGGTTTGCTTTTGCTGTTAGATCACGTGATGTTCCCCCTTTGGATTGTATTTATTCTGAACGTGCTGTAGAATCGAAGATGGCGTCGCTACAAACCATTCGCATGTGTGTTGCGCTTGCATTAAAAACCAATTCGAGCATACGTTTTACTCGGTTACCACTCCATGCTTACAAGCATCACTGTGCCAATAGATCTAGGATAGGAATAACACCATACAGGTAGTTATGACAATTTAACCACTACACTAGGATTCCGCAATTGTAACTCCTGTGCACGTGTAACACTGTATTAATTATGTAATTAAAAGGTGTTTATACTTATAGTTATACTTATAGTCATATTCATAGACTAAGAGTAGGCCTAGGGATACTGCCTTTTAATGGTCTAGATAACCTCACTAATATAAGACAATCACTATAAGATCACTGGACGTGATGCGGCCATTATGTCGAGGCGACCCTAGGCCTAGGATTGACACTGTGGCCTCCAATCACAGCCTACGCCGCACCTCCATTTGGAATTTTTATAGGTGGGAACCCGTCACAGTACCAAATTGCCGATCTCAGGAACTAGGGCATTCTGCTAGGCTAGAACGGTTTCCTACGATAGAGTTTGGCACAAAAACGAAAATAACACGCCGTTTAGCGCACTGCGCTACGTCCTTATGTTGCATTTTGGCATCTCCGTAATGACAATAAGCCCCGCCCTCTTCATTGATGGACATGAATGGAGCGTCACGTGACCAATTACTGT